TATGTTAAAATTGAAATAAATAAATAAAATAAAAAATTAAATAAAGAAAAATTCTCTTGTTTAGTGTTTTTATTGTCCAAATAAAGACCCTCTTCTCCATTTCTCTTATATTAAACTGACACTTAATTTAATTTTATAATTAAAATTAAGATTTTGAAATTAGTGAATATTGACTCAATTAAATTTGTAAGTCATTTTTTTAGATTTATATTTGATGATGGATTATATATATAAAATAACATATATATTTTTTTAAATTCTTGTCCACTTGAATTAAACTTCAAATTTAAAATCTTTAAATTAAAGTATCAAGTTTTTAACCAATTAGACCACCTTTTCAGGCTTAAATTCCTAATGGTCATAATTCTCTAATATCTTATCATCATCCTGAATATTAAGTGTCCTCACTTTTCATCAACTCAAGGATTCGGTCATTAAAAGGAAGGAAACAAAAGATGATGGATCATTTCTTTATGAATCCTTTTCATATCTAAAGGAGAAATCATTGAGGACCCAATTGAAAAGGCTCAGCAAATTTAAACAAAATGCATTTTCCCAAAGAACAAAGCATTTGCATTATGTCTTCTAGCTAGTCCTAAAGATACCATATATCATCTTCTCATGCATATGTGAGATCCCCACCAACATTCATTAGTTTCAGCTTCTGTTTTTATCTATTATGAAGCCCACACGCATTAAATTTGAAACTAAAGTCACACGGAAATAAAGAAAAGCCTTCTAAACCTTAATTCCGGAGTTATCAAAGGTTCATAACCCTGCAATAGCTAAGCATGCTAACTTATATACATCGATAAAAATGATTGAATTGAAATGCAGACCCAAAACAAAAATTAAGCATCTAAGTGATCAACTGATAAAAATAAAAACAAAAAGTATCTCAATAGAAGGAGAGTGACTTTACATGAACTTAAGCCTAGGTAACATGATATTTGGGGATCAAAGCGAATTGATTACAGTAGTTCTTAATTGGGAAGCCTTACTAATTTATGCTAATATATAATAAGAAAAATTCTTTGATACCCTTTTCTTTTTATTTCCTTACATGGACTCATTATCTTGTTCCACTTCAGATGCAGGTTCATCATCTTCTTCAAGACCATCAATCCCATAAGGTGCATGACCATTTCCAAAAGCCTTAATATGGTCCTTAAGGGACCTCTTATGCTTAAAATCTGACCCACAAATGCAGTACCATAGCTTCCCACAGTTCTTCTCATGGGTTCTCCAGTCTCCTCTCACCGCGAAGGCCTTACCACATTTTCTGCACATGAAAGGCTTTATCCCATGCTTCCTCTTGTAATGTGTTTGGAGAGTTCTGAAGTCTTTGAGGGGCTTGGCTCTCGGGTGGTCGATGTTGTTCCGGCAGCCTGGGGCGCAGCAGTAGCATGGCAGTCGTAGCATGCCGGTGGGTTGGGTTCCTCTTAGTGACTCTGGCCCTTTCCTGTACTGAGATCCATGCCCCCACATATGCATCTACAAAAATATTCGGAAAAGGAAGATGGAATTAAAACTATAATTTTGAATTAAAGTTAACGATTCAATCCTCTACAAGAGCTAAATAAATTCTAACTTCTTTGCCGAGAAATTAAGATAAACAAAAGAAAAAAAAAAAGAAAGAAAAAGAAAAAGAAAAAGAAAGAGAAATGATCAAGAATTAAAGAAACAACAAAACCAAAAGTTGCCCCAACAATGTCTCAAATACTAGGAAAACTTACTAACATAGCTTTTAATTCCTCTCAACTACAATCACTTCCACTATGCTTCTTCATGTTGGGTTTTGTGGGCTTTTTGAAATCTTTTCTTTTGTTTTTGAGTTCCTATATGCATACCATGTTTGATGCAAATATTCCAAGGTAGTTCCATTCCATTTCTTGCTTTCAAAAAGGAAACCCGTTAATGTAATTCATCACAAATTATTCCTTATTTTTTAGCTTAAATGGTCTATTTTTAACTAAATTCTTGTAATATTAAAAAATCTACAAATTAAGAAGAATGTCGAAGTAAGGATTTTGCTCATGAGGTTAGCAGATATAAACTGCTACGCATGAGGCTTTAGCGAAAAATTAATTCATCTAAGTTCTTGAGGGGGGAAAAAATGAAAAAAAAAAAAAAGAACAAGTAAAATTTCAGCATCACGCTCTCTGCCAATGTCAAATGGCACAAACTCCGAAGTGCCAAAGACATAAGGAACATTGCTTGTGTTATTCAATCACATTTTTTTTTAAAAAGTACTAATCTCAGGCTGATCAGTCCGATCAGGAACAGAATGATTCATAATTCAAACCTCCAGACCAAAACCCATTGACCATGCAAACCATAATAAAATCTTTCACACTGGATCAATCTGTTTGTTTCCCCCCTAAAAATCCATGGAAATACACAGAAACTAGATAAAGATTTGTCTTTTAAGATCTAAGAAAGAAAAAGAAAAGAGAAAAAGAAGTAAAAAAAAAATTATTTCAGAACTCAAGATCTTACATCCTTGTCTCTACCTTGCGATTAGGATTTTAAGTATAACACTCCCACTAACCTTCGAGGTCTGGAATACCAATTATGAGGTGTGTTCCTCTTAGGGTCGAGATCAGGAACACAAAATTTGTATTAAGTCATGAAAGTTACCTGCATGTTGTTGTATCTATTGAAGGTTTTGCAGCAGACAGGACAGGAGAACTGTGTAGGGCCGATGAGAATTTGCGAAGGGGTAGGGATCCAATACTGACCCTTGTTGAGTCTGTTCAAAGGGTATCCAGATTCATCGCCATCTCCATCTTTATCCATGATCTCGGAGGAAGAAGATAGAACAGAAGCCAGCTCAGAAGCGCTAGGGCTCGGTAACCCTATGTGTAGTGCAACAGTAACAGCTTCATTTTTGGTGCTGATCTTGTCCACATCCATGTCGGTGAAGGAATTGTGTGACTCTTCATCTTCATCTTCTTGTTCAGGAGGGTCCGGGCTCAAATTCAAGAGGGGGAGGGCTTCTTTGATGGGAGGAGAAGGAGGGGGAGGTGGGGGGTTTTGGTAGTGAAAGTAAGGGTGGGTTTGGGTGGGGTGGAAGTTTGGGGTGGCGTTGAAGGGCTGGGGAGGAGGAGGTGGTGGCGGCGGCGGAGATGGGTAAAGATGGTGGTGGTGGAGAGGGTTGGACTTGAACCAACCTGAGGAGAAGAAGTTAGAGTAAGGGTCTGCCATGGTTGAAAAG